ATGTACATATGAAAGAGAAGACGGTTCACCTTTGGGGGACTAGGCCTTTGACGTTCGGGGTGTATGTCACACTTGGCGCCTCAGTCGGGACCTGCACCTCCCACGTGGGGACAGTGATTTCCGGACCCGGACCACACCGGTGCGCTGCCCCAGCACCCAGCACAGGGTGAGGAGGGCCCGGGGTCCGAGGACCTAGGACAGGCCCTGGAAAGCATCCGTCCGCAGCTCCCTTTGAAGTGCTTTGTTTGCAACAAGGTCTGTAAACAGCACGGTCCTCATCTCACAGCTCGGGACCAATTCATCTCTGACGAGGGAGCGGGCATTGTTTTCTCAGCTGCAAATCATGTTAATCGGGAGCAAATAGACAGGAATGTGGAGTCAACAGCCCCAACCGCCCGCTGTGATGGCTTTCCCAGCCCCTGTAGGCGCTGTAGGGGCGGCCCAGCCAGGGATGCCAGCAGGGATGGGAGGGGCGACCTGAGGGGATGCTCCTCCAAGCTCGGGTCCCTTGCTCTGTGCTTTTATCGGACATGCAGACATCCAGGGTCATTGGCCAGAGTGGGTGCAGGGCGAGTTCTCAGGGGTGTCTGGGAGGAGAGCAGTGGGGGGCTATGGGGTGCGTGTGGCGTTTGGTTAAAGCGCTGACTGTCCCAGGAGACTCTGGGCAGTGGCTTTTCCTTCTCCTCTCCTCCCCCTCCCCCTCTCCCGGCTTTAGCCCCCAGTCACTGGAATCCAACCAACTCCACGGGGTCACGGGGGGCCCCCTGTTCTGAGGTGGGCGAGGGGGCTGGGAAAGGGCTGCCCAGCCTCAGGGAGACCAGCCTTAGGGACAAAGCGCTGTGTGCGCTGGAGCTCTACCCATCGGCTCCCGCACACCGAGCCGCCTCGTACCCGCTGGCCACCTCCCTGCTCCCCAAGGCGGACGTGCAGCTGGGCCACCGGCTGGCGGGGAGCAGACCCACCTTGCGCTCTGGCTCCGGCGCTCTCTCCCATCCTGTGACCTGCTCCTGCTCCCGGCCCAGGCCCAGGCCCCGTCCACTCTGA